CTTTAAGAAGGCCTGAAAACATCCATAAAATGGAAGTCCTAAGCTCAAATGTCAATTCATTCAATCACTGACAAGGGGGGTGTCCTGGGGTGATGCTGACTCTTTCCAGGGTCTCACCCATTGAGCTGGCACCCACCGCAGACTGGAATCTGTAATTTACACACATATAACATTGACCAGTTAGTTTTACTTCCACAGGACCTTTCCAAATGCCAGTTTCCAAATCCTTGTACTGGATCAGAATACCTGGAGTTTTAGTCATATAACCTGAACCTAATGCCTGACCATGTATTATAGCAGGGGAGTCATTAAAGTCTCCTGTCAATCGCAAAAAAAAAAAAAAAATCATAACATATACAGCTTGAGTATAAGAGGATTTTAACCCATATGTGGTCACTGCTTGTCAGGCCTCCTTAACTATTTGGAGATCAAAAGCTTCCCACTCTTTAACCCCCTGCTGTGTAGTAAACACAGGATATGCAGAGAGGCCCACTGAAGAAAATTCAACAGTAAAATCACATCTTTGATTAACCCATGCCAACGGTGAGCAGGATTTGTGCCCCCTGATACCTCTCCCACCCCCTCCCTTGGTTGCCTTCTTTAAGGAAGGGGTTTTGCGGAGGATAAGGTGGTGGCACCGATGGAGATGTCTCAATCTGAGTCTTGAGGGCTTCAAGCTTTTTCATCAATTGTTGCAGCTGAGCATCTCTAAGGCCAGCAAGTAGTTGCTGATGAGCCGAGCAGACCGACCCGGGAGACGATGAGTCAGAGTCTGGAAGCAGAGGATATAAATCTGGCTCGGATTCAGGGGATTCGGGGGCTGATCCTGCGCCGAACTCGGGGTCTCCGTTGTTTGCAGCTATGTCTTTCTTGTCAGGTGTCTCTCGTTTGGTATGTGGCTGTCTGCGGACCTGGCTCTTGCTTTCATTGGCTCGGGGCATTGATTTTTTCGGCGCCATTCCAGGTACCACAGGAGATGCAAAAGTCATAGCCGCAGCACTATGATGGGGATTAGGGGAGACAGCCCCCTCTGGAGCTGTGGTGGCAAATACAGAAGCTACTGCAGCCCTTTCAATTTCATCTCTTTCAAAGTCTCAAACACCTATCTCCAAAGTGTAGAGTGTTTCTGTGCATCTTTGGTCCCTTTACTAACCTCGCGATCATGGGACTGTTATAAATGTGGCTCAAATAAATTGACGAGAGCCAGACCAATGAATCAAATTGGTTTATTGAGTAAGCGACAGCAAGAAAAACAGCGCTGGGCGGCCGGGAAGTCTCCGCTCTGCCAACGGCACGCACCCCACTTCCCCAAAGTCACTGGTTTTATACTCTTCTTCATCCGATATACGTGTCACCTCCTGGCGTCCTCTGCGTCTGTGTGATCTGTAGATAAGGGGTCTGTCCTGGGTTCAGCAGTAGCAGTCATGTTTTTCCTTTGTGGTAGCTGGTGCAGTGCTGTGTTTTGACTTCCAGCCTGGGAACAGTGTTGGTGAAGCTGATGTTTTCGGTTGTTGCTAAGTGATGTTTACCCTGACCAAGGATTTTGTGAGACTCATGCTCTGCCAGGGAGGAGGGGAAGCTGTGAGGAAGCAGAGATGGGGCGCCTGACCCGGGCTAGCCAGGGAGGTATTCCATACCACAGCACGTCATGCCCGGGGTGGGGGGTAACTGGGAGTTACCCGGAAGGACACGGGCTTCCGGGTGGGACTCGTTTTCTTGGCCAGTGGTATCGTATTCTCTTCCCTTGTTATTTTCCCTTATCATTGTTGTAGTTGATAGTAGCGGTGGTGATTTGTGTTGTACAGTGGTTGCTGGACTGTTCTTGTCTCAACCCGTAGGAGTTGCACTCTTTCGATCCTCCTCCCCGTTCCTCCGGGAGCGGGGAAGGGGAGAGCCCCGGTGGGGGGGGGGGACGGACCTCGATTGTTGTCAGCTCGGCACCACTCACTGGGAGTGAGTGAACAAGTTACCTGACTGGGTTTAAACCACGACAGTTCTTTCCATTCTCCCCAAAGAGAGAGAGGCCTCACCACCTACGGCCACACCACCCTGAAAACGCCCGATCTTGTTGCAGAATGACTCTAAGAGCAGGACCATAGAGTTCTGGAGGACTGTGCAAGCAAGGCAGGGGGTGGCCCCCACAGGTGGCCGGAGACCAGACCTGGGAGGAGAATGTGAAGGAAGCTGTGGGGGCTAACCAATACTGTTATGCCAAGAAGGAGTGGCTGAATACCACTCCTATATATGTGTGAACTGCGTCACAAATAAAGTAGAAGTTGCTTATCACCCATATTGGGTTGGCCTGTCTGCTTCTCCTCGCTGCTTACAAATGGCGCCCGAACAGGGACACGGACTACAGGGCCCTGGTCACTGGGGACCCGGATTACAGGGCCCCGGTCGCTGAGGACCCGGATTACAGGGCCCCGACTAGCGGGGACCCGGGATACAGGGCCCCGACTAGTGGGGACCCGGGATACAGGGCCCCGGTCGACGGGGACCCGGATTACATGGCCCCGGTCGACGGGGACCCAGATTACAGGGCCCCGACTAGCGGTGACCCTGATTACAGGGCCCCGACTAGCGGGAACCCAGATTACAGGGCCCCGGCCGACGGGGACCCGGGATACAGGGCCCCGACTAGCGGGGACCCGGATACAGGGCCCCGGCCGACGGGGACCCGGATTACAGGGCCCCGACTAGCGGGGACCCGGATTACAGGGCCCCGGCCGACGGGGACCCGGGATACAGGGCCCCGGCCGACGGGGACCCGAGATACAGGGCCCGGGCCGACGGGGACCCGGAATACAGGGCCCCGGTTTAACGGGGACCCGGATACAGGGCCCCGGTCGATGGGGACCCGGGATACAGGGCCCCGGTCGACGGGGACCCGGATTACAGGGCCCCGACTAGCGGGGACCCGGATTACAGGGCCCCGGCTGACGGGGACCCGGGATACAGGGCCCCGACTAGCGGGGACCCGGATACAGGGCCCCGGCCGACGGGGACCCGGATTACAGGGCCCCGACTAGCGGGGACCCGGATTACAGGGCCCCGGCCGACGGGGACCCGGGATACAGGGCCCCGGCCGACGGGGACCCGGGATACAGGGCCCCGGTTTAACGGGGACCCGGATACAGGGCCCCGGTCGATGGGGACCCGGGATACAGGGCCCCGGTCGACGGGGACCGGGATTACAGGGCCCCGACTAGCGGGGACCCGGATTACAGGGCCCCGGCCGACGGGGACCCGGGACACAGCGCCCCGACTAGCGGGGACCCGGATACAGGGCCCCGACTAGCGGGGACCCGGATTATAGGGCCCCGACTAGCGGGGACACGGATTACAGGGCCCCGGCCGACGGGGACCCGGGATACAGGGCCCCGGTTTAACGGGGACCCGGATACAGGGCCCCGGTAGATGGGGACCCGGGATACAGGGCCCCGGTCGACGGGGACCCGGAATACAGGGCCCCGACTAGCGGGGACCCGGGATACAGGGCCCCGGTCGACGGGGACCCGGAACGGCGAGTGAGCGGCGCCGGCGGCAGCGGCCGGGAAGCGCGGGCAATGCTGCTGCGGTGGCGTGACGGACCCGGGTGCTTCGGCTAACCGAAAGAATCCGCCGCTGGGGCGAACCAGACACTGCTGCGTCGGGAGGCCGATCCGGAGACTGAGGTTACAGGACGACCCAGAAGAAGACGATCCGGAAAAGGCTGGCCATGAAAATGGACCGAGAGGTAGCCCTGGACTTATTACAGTGCTTCTTATAAAAGCGGGGAACTGAGCCCTGAACTTTTTACAGTGCTTTTTATAAAAGCGGGGAATTGAGCCTGAGACTCTAAAGCAGCTAGCAGGTCTAGTGGCTAGGGAAGGCTAAGAGATTTTTTTTGCAGATCCTAATACAATATTTGAGAAGAGTGAGTGGCGAAAGTTTGGTGATGAACTATTTGACTCAGTGCTTAATGATGATAAAACGGCAAAGAAATTCGGTAAACCACGGAGGGAAGTAATGAACTGTAAAAAAGATACAAGGCAGAAAAGAAAACTGCCGCGGTAGCAACGGAGAAACTAGGAACAGACGTCCTCGGTCGGTTGAAACCGGGGGAAGATTACAACTCGTTCCCCCCCCCAACTCGCGGGACCACCGGGTTTCCCACCCCCCCCTTCCTTTTCTCCCCCTCCATCAGAAGGTGCCGCGGAGGAGGTGTAACCCCCTGCTCCCCCACCACCCCAGTTCCGAAAGTAGGGACTTTGAAAAGGACAGAGAAAGTATATTAGAAAGGATACGCATGATAAATGTCGAGAAATCCGAAAGAAAAAAGGCGGTGCCTCGGCGCCGGATCGATTGCGGCGCCACTGTGAAGCACGCAGTAGAAAATAGGGATCATGCGCGAGCGGGAGATTTAAAGGAACCGCGAGCCTCTCCAACCCACTACGCCGTAGAGTGAAAAAATTTTTAACTCAGTCACGGAGGAGCCAGGTCTGCAGATGGCTACATACCGAACGAGATACACCTGATAAGAAAGACACAGCTGCGAGCAACGGAGACCCCGAGTTCGGCGCAGGATCAGCCCCCGAATCCCCTGAATCCGAGCCAGATTTATATCCTCTGCTTCCAGACCCTGACTCTTCGTCTCCCGGGTGGGTCTGCTCAGACTTACTGGCCCTGGAGACGCTCAGTTGTAACAATGGGTAACCAAAGAGGTGAACGTTACTGGTGAATTTTCTGCAATGGGCATCTTTGCATATCCTGTGTTTACTACACAGCAGGGGGCTAAAGAGTGGGAAGCTCTTGATCTCAAAATAGTTAAGGAGGCCTGACAAACAGTGACCACGTATGCGTTAAAATCCTCTTATACTCAAGCTGTATATGTTATGAGTTTTTCTTGCAATTGACAGGGGGAGCCCATACAGTTTCTCTGTGATACTCATGTATTAGAAGTTGGTAAAAATAAGTATGTCCAGGTTTCTATCAACCCTTGGAGACCTCTGTAGATACTGCTGGCCACTTCTTCCAGCACAGGCTGGCCACCTGTGTTGGAATGAGTGTGCATTTTGGTCAGTATAAAAGCCCAAGCCTCATACGATGTGGGTGAGGCAGAGCCTCTGCGGGGATGCCCGCTAAGGTTGAGCCTGCCACCTCGCACTGCAATGATGCTTCTCGGAGCTGGTTTGCTGTTAGTCTCCACAGGGTCCTTGTGCCACGTTCTGTACGTGGAACTGTAGTGGGAATAATGATAGGTTTTGCAGGGACAAAAAAAAAAAAAAAAAGAGGGGGGGGAGAGAGAGAGTAATGATGTTACCTTTAACTTTAACCTGTCTACTTCTGAAGAACTGATAACCTGGGGGAGGGGGTATATTTGTGCCCTCCTGCCTACAGGTCCATGGTGACTGTCTGCAAAGTTTGTGAAGCCTTGCCATGAGCTGGACAGACAGACGAATGGATAAACCTGATGCCTCAGCTACAGGAGCTGACCATGAATACCCCAAGCAGAATAAGATGGAGGAAGAGAAGGAAGGATTAACTGCAAAACATCACTTGGGGGCAACTGAAAAGTATCACCCTGAATATGTGTGCTTGTAAAGTAGCTATTATTAGAAGTTGTAATTTTGTGTATAAAACCACCTGTATTTACTAGCTAGTTGCTAATAAGAAACTGCACCTTGTATTGTATAGATTTGTCACTTGTAAAAGAGATGTTAGAGTATGGAAATTTGCAGTAGCTGCTAGAAAATGCTAAGGCAAAAGCTAGAAAAATTTTAAAACAATGGTAGTGTTATAAAGCAGGTGATGGAACAAATTAAGAGGGGGGGAGAATTCCACTGGTAAGAAATTTCTTTGGCTAGTTGTTTACTGCCATCAGCATCTTCAACATGCTGCTGCTGCACCCTGTAATAGTTACTCTGCTAATGTAAATGTGTGTGTGCCTTGCTGTAGTAGCGACTTGTCACTGGATAAAACAAAAGGGGGTACATGTGGAGACAGTGTTCTCACAGGAGAATGCATAATTGGTACATAAACTTTGAATAGTCCTGAAAGATACAGCAAGGCCATGAGAGGCCTGAAGAAGCTTAAGCAAGCAAGATAAGAGGCTGGAATTCACCAAGTTAATGAGGCCTGTGGACTGTTGGCAAGCTTTCAAGGTTGAGTTCTCACACCTGTGTTTAACCAATTATATGTTAGTCACTAAGGGTCTTCAAAACATGTATCCAATCATAATATGCCAAATCACTGTAAGTGCTTCAGCTGGGGCCTTGGCTCAACTAAGCAGACTGGGTTGCTGAGTTGCTAAGCAGACAATTCTACATTGAAGGCAATTTCTGGTTTGTTTTAATGTTGACTCTGTAAGACATGCAACACTGCAGAACCTTTTGTTGTTGGAACAGGGACATGGATGTGAAGAGTTTGATGGAATGTGTTGTATGAGTCTCTCTGATTATGCTAATTCGATGCACGCACAGCTGAGAACCCTGGCTCAGCTTACCCAGCAGTAGTAAATGAGCAATATCCTAAGAATAACTAGATGGTTGTCTTCACGGGGCATTACAGGTTGAGTCAAACACTGCTGTTTGAAGTATTGCACTTATGTATCATTGTTAGGTTAATCATCGTAGCTATTAGACTTGTTTATAGTTGTGTGATAAAACAGGTGAACAGAATAACCCATAATGCCTTGCTTGCACAAAGAAAAAGGGGGGAATTGCTGCAGAATGACTCTAAGAGCAGGACCATAGAGTTCTGGAGGACTGTGCAAGCAAGGCAGGGGGTGGCCCCCACAGGTGGCCGGAGACCGGACCTGGGAGGAGAATGTGAAGGAAGCTGTGGGGGCTAACCAATACTGTTGTGCCAAGAAGGAGTGGCTGAATACCACTCCTATATATGTGTGAACTGCGTCACAAATAAACTTGAAGTTGCTTATCACCCATATTGGGTTGGCCTGTCTGCTTCTCCTCGCCGCTTACACGATCTCGTCTGATCTCGGAAGCTAAGCAGGGTCAGGCTCGGTTAGTACTTGGATGGGAGACCGCCTGGGAATCCCGGGTGCTGTACGCTTTTTTTTTTTCTCCCACTGAGTGGTGCCGAGCTGACAACAATCAGTACCCGCGGGTGCATCCCATCTGGATCCATGGATTTATGGATGCCCAGATTGCTCAACTGGTCTCTAACCCATTCCTCATCGACTAAGGCAAACCGCTCCGTTGACCTGACTTCATCTAAGGTCTCAGGGGTACAGGGCTCTTCAGGACTGCCTGCAGCAGAGTAGACAGAGACAAAGAAGGCATTCAGTAACTCTGCCATCACTGCTGAGCAACTCTGATTTCATCAAAGTTCATTCTTTGTCGGAATGATGGTTGGAGGGAAGTCAGGGCCATTCACTGGTGACCTGAAGACATCTAGTTGGTGGGCTATAAAAGTGCTACATAGCAGGCAACAGCATACAATTGAGTTCATTGGCTGTTTTCCCCTAACATCAAATCCCCTTGAGGTACACATCGGACTTCCCCATCTTCCCGCATTACCCACCAAGTATATCCAGGTCCCTGAGCAAAAGCAATCCCACGAGTGGGTTTGCCTTTACCTGAAGCAGGAATAACCCAGACTGTCTTCCCCAGCAAATTCTTTATGTGCACCACACCAACTTTATCCCCTTCTACAGTATGTAAAAGTTCTGACTGGGTTGGGCCAGCCCTGTTGGCATATCCTCTGGTGTTGACCAACCAGGTGGCTTTTGGTAAATGTGTATCCCAATGTTTGAAAGTTCCACAACCCATTGCTCTCAGTGTAGTTTTTAGCAGCCCACTGTACTGTTCAGTTTTCCCAGAGGCTGGTGCATGGTAGGAGATGTGATATACCCACTCAATGCCATTCTCTTTGGCCCGAGTGTCTATAATGTTATTCCGGAAATGAGTCCCATTGTCTGACTCAGTTCTCTCTGAGCTGCTGTGGTGCCACAAGATTTGTTTCTCAAGGCCCAGGATAGTGTTCTTGGCACTGGCGATGGGCACAGTTTATGTTTCCATCCATCTGGTGGTTGCTTCCACCATGGTTGTTGGGAGTGTGATATAGTCAAACTGCCAGGCCTACCCATATGAGTACCTCAGCCTTTGTCCTCCATACCAGAGTGGCTTTAACCGCTTTGCTTGCTTAATTGCAGCACATGTTTCACACTCATGAATAACCTGGGCAATAGTGTCCATTGTTAAGTCCATCCCTCAATCACGAACCCGTTTCTATGTTACGTGTCTGCCTTGAGGCCCTAAGGTGTCATGGGCCCACCGGGCTAACAATAATTCACCCTTTGTTGCATTAAAAGGCAGAAAATAAGCCCCTTGTGTTCCAGCTAGTCCTCAGATATTAGATGTGCTGGGTGTGGCTGGGCTTAGATTCTGAGTGATGCCCAGTTTACCACGATCAGTCCAGTCACGTTTGATATATTGAACAATCACAATTCCAGATGCACTAATAGCCTTCAGCCTAAGCATGCTCGTGAACTAACACGGCCACAATGAAAGCATTTGGTCACGTTCAATGAGAAAACTATTACGATTAGCTACTTAAACAATGCAGCTTATTGAAGCAACGGATACAGGTTCTTATGGATTGCCAGTGATAAATACACTGTCTGAAAATGCACATGCAAATAATAGGTTATGCAAATGTGTGATAAAGTTATGAATAACACAGACTGGCTGTAAAATATAAAAGTAAAGGTGAAAAGTAACACTATATAGAAATTCCTAATTTTCCCGGGGAAGCACTTAATACAGTGCCAGTCTTACCCAAAGGCATTCCTATGGGGAGGAAGAAAGGTCCAGCCCGTCCACTGATCCCACGAGTCAAAGATAATCTGCTGATGGAATCTTCCTCGACTCATCCATGATGATTTCTTCCTTAATATTCCCCCTTTGTTGGGCCATTTTATACAATTTTTCACATCCAAGGTGGAACTTGAGTGACTCTAGTTATACATACCTTTATTATTACTGGTGTAAAATTCTCTCACTTCTCTTTTAAGGTTATATGCAACAAAGAATTCAAAGCTCGAAGAGGGGTGGTCTCACTTTGGTGGCTGGTAGCATTGGTGATGGAGGTGTGTTTTTGTATTAAAATGCATTATAATAAAGCAAAGTTCACACAAAGGACAATATTTTGTCAAAAGATGAGACTGTTTACTCAGGGTAGCAAGTATGCAACTTATCAGTTTTTAATACCACCTAGTTCCCATCTCTGCTTGTCTTATGACAGAGCTTGGCCGCAGAATCTCCACTCTGCTCCCTCCCCCGTCAATGTTGCCACAGGAACCGTTGTGGAGTGCACATTCCTGGCATACCAGGTGTAGTCACATCTTCACAGTATGCTAGAGATTGGAAGGGACCTCGAAAGATCATCTAGTCCAATCCCCCTGCCGGAGCAGGAACACCTAGATAATGTTACACAGGAATGTGTCCAGGCGGGTTTTGAATGTCTCCAGGGAAGGAGACTCCACAACCTCCCTGGGCAGCCTGTTCCAGTGTTCCGTCACCCTCACTGAGAAGAAGTTTCTTCTCAAGTTTAAGTGGAACCTCTTGTGTTCCAGTTTGTACCCATTACCCCTTGTCCTATCATTGTTTGCCACTGAGTAGAGCCTGGCTCCATCCTCGTGACACTCCTCCTTTATATATTTATAGACACTTATAAGGTCACCCCTCAGTCTCCTCTTCTCCAAACTATAGAGACCCAGCTGCCTCAGTCTTTCCTCATAAGGGAGATGCTCCGCTCCCTTAATCATCTTCGTTGCCCTGCGCTGGACTCTCTCCAGCAGCTCCCTGTCCTTCTTGAACTGAGGGGCCCAGAACTGGACACAATATTCCAGATGCGGTCTCACCAGGGCAGAGTAGAGGGGAAGGAGGACCTCTCTCGACCTACTAACCATCCCCCTTCTAATACACCCCAGGATGCCATTGGCCTTCTTAGCCACAAGGGCACAGTGTTGGCTCATGGTCATCCTTTCGTCCACTATGACCCCCAGGTCCCTCTCCCCTACACTGCTCTCTAACAGGTCATTTCCCAACCTATACTGGAAGCTGGGGTTGTTCCTGCCCAGATGCAGGACTCTACACTTTCCCTTGTTATATTTCATCAAGTTATTCCCTGCCCAACTCTCCAGCCTGTCCAGGTCTCGCTGGATGGCAGAACAGCC